GTGTCTGTGATATGGTGTAATACTGAAGCCTTAGCAAATTGCTCTTCAAAATGATCATGAAGTGTCTTAAAAAACAATTTAAAAAATCTTCGAGTGACCGGTTTTACCATACTCATTGTACCCCATAGACTGTAGCGTTTAAAAAAAATCGTTTTGAAAACGAAAAATGAAATTTCAATTTCCAATCATAAATATCCTAAAAATCAGACAGGTGATCGGCTTGTTACAAAGTCATGGGGTTCCTGACTGAATGAGTAATGGTTTGTATTATCATTGCAGCATGAGCTAAATCCAGGATTTTGTTTCAGAATCTGATACAAAGATACCCAATCCCTGTATTACCCGATGTGGCTACCCCGGGTCAATAAAACGATATATTTTGAGAATTAGTATTATTACCGCCCATAAGTATGAAAACCATGATGACCATATATATACAATATGTTCAAGAATTTAACCAATGACAAACGTCGACATGGATCAAGTGTGCGTGCATTACTTTTGTTTTACCTTATGCGTATAGGGAGTGGATTGTGGTGATAAAAACCGCCAATCTCCCGACTTCGATAGTCATATCGTAGACCCATCTCATAAAACAAATAATACATGTGTTTAGCTTTTGCATAATTGATATGCACTGCACTGGATTAGGTCACGGTGTGACAGACAATGACTTTGACAGGTCACGATCATTATCGTACTGTGACGTAATAACCTGCTTACGGTGCATATTAACTAATGCCTTCGCAAACATTTATTAATAAAGGAGACACATGTTGCATTTTCAAGTGACCCTCGCAGTACTACACTACAATAACAACGCAGATAGGATAACATTCTTAAAAATAAAGTATTTTATTGAAAACGGATTAAAACTATAAAAAAATGAACACAAATATAAAGAAGAAAACAAGCATACATATATCAATATTCAAAGCACACTTTATACAAATGCGTAGTTATCCCTAGCGAAGAATACTTCACTGCAGTGCCTGAGAAACAATTAAAAAGTTCTATGACTCGTATTACTAAATAATGAATTTAAAATATATACTATTAAGAACTTTGGAATAGGTAATTTTAGTAATGTAATTTTTGTTAAGTGCCTCATATTTCTATAGACAGAATGCGAATTGTATACATTGATTGTTGCTAGAAAGGACTAACATGATGGCTTCTCTCACCTAGCAAAAATCAATGTATGCAATTTGCATTCTGACTACTTGAATACAAATATTCATAACAAGTGAATGAAATAATTGGTAACATGACAATTAACAAATAGTTATGCATCAAATTTGATTAGATTACGAACATTGTATATCCTAATTGTATACATACACATGCAGCGTATGATTACATATGAAGATCTAGTCTCATTCATGTTAGGTCTATTAGGGGTCTAACTTCTATTACCATCGGTTAATAGTGGTCATATGTAGAGTGCCGGTTCTAAACAAAGTTGTGCTAAAAAACGGCGATGTGATCATACCAGCGCCAGAAACTGAATTTGCCAGGAGAAAAAACAAAGATGTAGACATTTTAATAACAATACATAAATTAATCCTTAATATTTTTAACTATTCTAAGGTTCTTTCACAATTTAGTTATTGTAGATTTCTTTTTTTAAATAGGCCTTCTTTTTCATTTCTTATTAACAAACCTATATGAATTGAATATTGCTTACGTTTGATTTCTGGTTGGTAAGAATCCCAACTGTTGTGAAAGCACCTCATCCCAGCTAATATATTGTATGATTGATTTTGATATATTCATTCAAATGTCTATAATATCCTATGTTCGAAATACAGAATTCTCTTGGCATGTCATTCAGTAACGCTTGAAATAATCAACCAGTCATCAAATTCATGAAATATTGAATTCATAATCGTAAGGCCGGGGGAGCATGTGACCTTTAACCCTCTTTGCTTTCCGAAATACGCCGATGTATATAAAGTGCTTTTATCCTAATGTGTATTGTTAGCTGTTAGGGCTTTTCACCCCACTCAAGGACTCGCTCAATTTAGAGTCATAAAGTGTGACGGCTTGATGGCAAGATACGTCAAGGTCCATGGTTCCAAATAACCGTTTGAGATTCACTTCTAAAACATAGATTAGTTAGTTAACGTAGAAGTTTTCCTTTCTGAAGCTCATTTTGTGTAGGTCATCGTGCATCGTAGATTGCATTATTGTACATAAGGTTCATGCGGTTCAGATTTACTGCCCATTTAACGATAGACATTCTTGCTATGCACATAGTATATGGATACCAATATTTACAGTGGCGTATTTGGTAATGCTAAGGGGATTACGGGGGCACATGCCTCCCCCGTCTAACGCAATATTCAATCTTTATTTCACACCCATTGCCTAGGCCCTTCCAGAACATAGTGGCTCTTGTGTTAAGTATACGAGGAAAGTGTTGTATTCCAGTGGATACGTCTCCGGACTAGGAACCACAAGGTTTGGGGTTCGAATCCTTGTCACAGCACTAATTTCATTTGGCAAGACATTTAATATGCATGTGCCACATTTCACCAAAGTGAGGCAAATGGGTTTTTGACAGGAATTCATTCCTTAAAATGTTTGAGCGAGTAAGTTCTAAATCCAGGGTAACAATGAAATACTAAATGAGTGCCAGGAGTCAGAAATGGCTATGTACCAGACATGAGCGCTCTTTAAAGAGAAGGTTGAGTTCTGGGAAGAATTGAAAAATAATTTGTGAACTTTATCATTCTTATTATGCAAGTGTGAAAGAACATCAGATAAGACATGTTCCCTAAAAAACCATGGCTCTTCAAATGCCTTCATATTCTAAATATGCCGTGTAGCATGTAAAACTCGGGGGGGCGATTTTTTACGCCACGTGTTCGTGTAGTCCCATATATATATATCCTTCTGTGTACAGTGTTTGTAACTTTAACAAGACTTGGCCAAATTTCTTATCATTTTGATGATACCAGAACCTTGCAATACACACAAATTCTTATATGCTAGATGATCAACCTTTTCTGGTCGATTCCAAACCGTTTCTTTCACAATGCAATCGCATGACCAGAACTCAACTTCATTTTTAAGACTTTACTATAATTATTATTACGAAAACACTCTAGTAGTCAACAATCCAATATACACGCAAAGGGTAAACGTGTACCAGTTTCCCATTTGGAATGGCATACCTAATTACGCTTTCATTGTCGCTTTTTAAGGTTTTTTTTTTTTCCTTCTAGTTTTCGAACGTATTTACGATTCGTTCGCTGTTATACCTCGGCAATGTTTTCCTAGAGCTTTATCTCTGTGTGATAAAAATTCGCACAACAGAGAGTGTTCTTTCCGCCAGCATTTTTTTGAAAATGATTATCTTATGCGTCTACACGGCATATACAACAAACCAGCCACGAATAAACACATACACCTACAAACACAAAATGTAACCGTTTTAGGCAGTGCTATGCATAAACAGCAACGCATCCACAAATAATCACACACACCTACACACACAAATGCAAATGTATTAGGCAATGTTATGCAGTCGACAGGGACTACCATTTACAAATAGTTAAATCCTACAAAGTGGTGGAGCCCCGCCCCGCAAGAAAATTCCCCTTATCATAAGAGATAACTGTTTATTGAACAACTTTTCAAAATAGCAAGTATCGTCGAAGAAGACTGGGAGCACATCGCCAGGAATATGAGTAGCTGAAGGGCAGCCTTGAAGTAATTTACGCGCCATGAGCTTTGAGAACGACAAAATAGAAGTTTCAGAGGGGGCAAATGCAGAAGAAGGCGTAGGCTGCAGCAGTCTGCTGGCCGTAGCCCCCTGTTCAAGACTTTCCCTACTGTAAATGTGCGCAAGTCTGTTTTTTCGCAGATTGACCTGCTTAAGCATACTAAATCTTGCCATTAATGACCCCGCCTGGATTCCCATTGATGCTCGTACTCGAGGAAACAAACATTTATATTCATTCATTTATTTATAATGTTTTGTCAGGGTAGCCCATTCACCAATAAGTAGTGGTCTTCCATTGGCCCTGAATAAACATGATCATTTTCACATCAAAGAGCATAGCGTTTATACAGAACAGTACATTTAGAAAGATATTACACAGCAATAATAGACGGACCACAAACGAATACTTGTTTGCAAAATAAACATATATTATCAACCTAGTTCAACTGTAATGCCAATAGGAAAATAATGATTAAGTCGCAATTATGTGAATAAATCATGTTAATATTACAGAACATGCACGAAGTATATGTTCGGCTGAGCAATTCACAAATCACAACTTTTTTTAAATAATCTCTTAAATGAAATGACAGAGGAAGCCGTTCTCATCGAATTATCTAGCTTATTCCATTCAAATATATAATAAACAATTGAGCTACAATTATAACAATCAGTGTGAAATCTAAACATCCACTGTCATAATTTGTATAGAACCAAACAGAGCAGAAAAAAGTTATCTGCATTAAGCCGAAAGCGCTCGCCATTAAAGAAAGCGTGCTCTCCATTATTAATAGCAAGCAGAATTTGAAAGCTATATTACTGCGGGTTTACAATAGAAAATGTCTAAAAAGGGATCGAGTGTATTTGGAATAGGGAAGTTTTGGGATATACACGTACACCAACCCCTATACTCATTCAAAAATACTTTTTTACGCTATGGTCCAAAGAACCGGCTTAAAACTGTATAAATTGTAATCAAATGGCCGATGAGGGCGAAAATACACAGTAGCAGTCAGTGTCGTTTATTTACAGAGAGAGAGTGGCCAACCTGATTTCGGTTGGTTACAACAAACCAACCCTTATCTCATATATTACAAAAAATAAGATCTGTTCCATTTTTTACAACAAAAAATCGAAACAAACAGACCAAAACTGGAGTCTTTTCCTTAATTTTGTGCTCGCCCAACGAAGTAGTGTCAGTATTCGCCATATTGCGCCCAAATCGAACCACGTTGGACAAACATGAACATAATACCACTCCAGTGACTGATTACAACCATGCATCGGCTATGGGTGCGAATGCTGCTGGTCTTTGTATTTTACCCTTAAAACCATAGTCAAGCAAATCATCATCTCGAGAGTCATCCGGGGCACCAATGTGCACCTGGTTGGTTGGCCGGATGTTGATGTTACTGCGCCACCAGCGTTGAGGTTGAAGAACCATGCGCATAGTCTCCTCGCGGTGCGCGTTGGCGTTCACCGTGTTATAACGCATGACACAGATGACCGTGATCACAATGACGGCCATGAGGAGAAGTGCAGCACTGGCGAAGATAAGAGTCAGTGTGGTGTCCGTCAATGATGCAGTTTCATCTTAAGAAAACAAATGAAGAAGTGGAAAAAAGTATTACTTATAATTATTATTATATCCCGCATACCAAGAATCTTGAAATCTGATTAGTCTAAACGAGGTCACATGATCAATGATAAATAAGTACTATCTCCCTGCTAGAGGACTTTTGTACCGTATTTTTTTGCTGCTGCCCCACTTGCCCATTGAATAAGCGTAGCAAGGTAGGTTACGCGAAATATCAATATCAATGTCAAATGATCGCGCATCGACTGTATTACATATATGTGTGTTTGTCAAATCTAGCTGAAGCTACTGCAGAATACATTAATTTAATTATGTAAAATTCACTTTAAATAGACCTTATTGCCGATGTGGGATATAAAACAAATATTAACCTCCTTTACTCGGGCAATGTATACAAACTACCATCGCCTCAGTGATCTCGGGGCTACCACTACCCTCGTAGCCGATTAATGTTTGCTTCCTATTATATTCCACATACTAAGAATCTTGCTCTACGGTTGGTCAAAAGTAAATCACGTGATGAAAGATAGTTCGTCCATTATTTATGGGAGAAGCAAAAAGTTCGTTACACTGTGTAGATAGTACTACTATCTACAAAGTGCAACGCACTTTCACTGAAGATAGAGGTACTATCTACACAGGGCAACGTACTTTCACTGAAGATTATCCAAAAGCGCACTAAAACAGGCGTAATTAAGCGCGGATTACCAATGAGCGCAATTAAAGCAAACACGTGCGCGCACCGTACCCTCAAGGGGTTGGGTTAAACTTGAACTTGAATTTTGGCCTGGTGTCTTTCATGTAGATGCATACACGTCCTTTTCTTTTTGTAGTTAAATTGTTTTAGATGTGAAATTTAAAGCAAATAATCACCTTTTGGTTTCAGGCGATGGCAAACTATCACTTCCTCGTCGATCAGAATGTGTACGCTATCTTTCCTCAGCTTCGCTTCGGAAAGATAGCTACATCCAGATCGCCTCGGAAGTGATAGTTTGTCCCATCACCTTCACCAACGGTAGTTTTTTGCCTACTATTACTATTGATGTACTATTACTGCGTTTGTATATAGCCTTCTTCATCGTTACTTTTATCATCACGGATACGATCGCATATTCATTAGCCTTGAGCATCAATTTTTGAAATGAGCAAACATTACAATGCAATATAGGAAAGATAATAGGCCAATAAAACTTCCCTAAACTATATTTCTTGAAAGAATTTCTGATCCTGTTACTACTATAAATATTGTTATCATTATCATCTTGTTCATCATCATCATTATAACATATCCATCTTACCTTCTGTTGCTTGGGTTACGTCTGTTAATTCCGTTGTATCTGGTTGTCTTTGAGTAGGCGGTTCCTGTAACGTTGGCGTTACCGGTGCTGGTACAGGTGCTGGTGCCGGTGCCGGTGCTGGTGCCGGTGCAGGTGCCGGTACCTCTACCACCACCACTACCGGTGCTGGTGCCGGTACCTCTACCACAACAACTACCGGTGCCGGTGCAATAGGAGCCGGAGTCTCTGGATCAGTTACCGGTGCCGGATTCTCTGGATCAGTTACCGGTGACGGTGAACCTCCTCCGGTATTTGTTTCTTGTGAGCCACCTGTAGTTGAAGGTATCTGAGAATGTGTGATGCTTGTAGCCGAAGGTAAAGAAGAACCATTTCCCGGCGATCTAACTCCAGCTGAAGCCGTTGAGGACAGATCAATCGTCTTATTCGATGAAGACATTTCGGATGGCTCAAGCGAATGAGAAGACACAGTCCCAAAGAGAGAAACATTAGCCAAACTTGAAGCAGTATTATTGTTTTTTTCGACTCCCGATGGCTCGACAGAACTTGATGTTTGTGATGCGTGTGAAGGAGAGTCAATTGATCCAGGAGTTAGTGATATGACCGAATACTCAGAAGAGATCAACGTTGTCTGAATTACCGTCGATGTCCTATTGGTGGAAACACTTGTGGGGTAGGTCGTTTCGTTTCTTACGAAACTAGTCAGGCTCGAGAAGTTTAGGATTGAATTGTCCATGGTAGCTGTGAGTTGAGGGTATACACTTGCACTGAAGATAGGATTCGTTGTATTTCCTGAAGGTTCTAAAAAACTTGATGCTATCGCGTTTATAAGTAGGCTCATGTCAGGCGAGGTTGAATACAAAATCGGTTGAGAACTCACACCAGTTGTTGGTAAGGCGACGGAGCTGACATTTATTTGTTCGGTTGTTTCTATGTCAGCGGCAGCGCTGGTAAAGAGTGCCGTGGTAGGGATTGAAACCATACTCGATAATTCACTTAGGCTAAAGGTTGCCTGAGCAGTTGTGACCCAGTGAGATGTACTGCTAGTAAGGGTTGTGGTTCCAGAGGCCGAGCCCGACTCGGGTGATTCAATGAAAGCCAAGGTCGTTGGTTGTGTCGGTGCTACGTGAGAGGCCATGGTATTGAACGATGAAGTTTGAAGCGACGACCATGTTGCCGTTGGTTCATTCCAACTCAAGGTGTTCTGTGCAGATGATGCTTCGTCAGAGGTCATGGTAATAAACGACGAAGCTTGAATCATCGACCCAGTTGCCGATGGTTCATCCCAACTTGAGGTGTCCCGTACAGATGATGCTTCGTCGGATAAAGTATTAACAGCCACGGCTGATCCCGCTAAGGATGTTTCACCCGAACTGAAGGAAGTCTGTGCAGTTTCTGATATACCAGATGTAGAACCTGTAAAAAGTGTACCATGAGGTGACGATCCGGTTCCCAATGGTTCCATGAAACTTACGGTCGTCTGTGCCATTGTTACGATGTGAGATGCAGTGTAAGAGGAAAGTGTGGCGTTTTTAAGGATCGATCCCAGTACTGTAGTACTTGTAGAAAGTACACTCTGAGGGGATGATTCAGTTTCCGTGGGTTCCATGGAATACACGGTCGTTGTAGCAATTAATCCAGTGTGAGATACAGTGTTAGAGGAATATGTGCCGCCAGGGGTCGATCCTATCACTAATGTTCCACCAAAGCCTGAGCCTGTTGGCGTAGTTGTAGATACGTCTGATGCAGTATTTATGACAAATGTAGGTTGAAGAGACGATCCCGTTCCCGATGGATCATACGAACTTGATGTTTGAGGAGTCACTACAGCTACTGAAGCGACTTCGTTTGTTGCCGAATGTGTTGGTGACTCTGACATGGAAGATTCTAACGTTGCTACAACGTCAGATGTACTACTAGAAAATAGTGGAGATTGAAGGTCTGAATTTAGTTCCACTGTAGAGCTCCGAGGTTGAAGAGTTTGAGAGTTTAGCGATCCTGTTGGGTTGAAAGGGGTTTGAATAGATATATCTGTATCAGACACCAAAGAACTGGGGAAAAGTGTAGTCTTAAATGAAGCTCCCGTTCCGGAAGTTTCAATCAAACCTGTGGATGCCTGATTCGTTGACAGTGTATTAGAGGTAATACTTGGAATCAGAGTCATCTCAGAGCTGGATACCAGTCCTGTTGACATACCCGAACTTGTGGCTGCATTAGAGGATTCCGCTGAAGTCATGTAAGAGTTAGTCAACATGTCCGTCGATTCAAGCATGCTCGAATGCATCACGGTTGCAGCTACAATTAAAGATGTGCTACTCTGCGGAATGGTTGTTGAACCTAACACGCCCTCTTCGGTTGACTCAGCTGACACTAAGGACAATGTTACACTGGCAATTGTACTTGTAGGGACCACTGTAGAATCGGTTATGGTACCCGTTCCGGATGATTCAAACCATGTTGACGTATCATGTAGGGTGACCTCTGGCGACTCTCTGTACAAACTGGATGAGGAGTCTGCCAATGTCGTTTGTGATTCCGGCGTGACTGTTACCGATGTCGCGCCACTTTGCGGAGTACTCGCATCCTGGAAACTGGTGGAGACATCACTGACAGAGGGTAGTGCATACACAAGGTTCGCGGAAATTAAAGAAAAGAGGATGATGTGTACAAGATATCTATGTAAGCTTCTTAAATGTACATCGGCCATGGTTCTTCAAAAGTTCTTGGTATTTCCGCACGGAGATCACTATATCGCTTTGGTTACTCACAACAACTCAACTTAAGTTAAGAAGACAGAATTTGTTTCGGTTATAGGATGCTTAGTTCGAGGCTAGCCAGGGTATTACTTCAATAATCCTCGAATAAACAAGTTCGTCCTTTGCCCGTAGGCTGATGATTTATTCTGTTTAGAGAAATCAATAGAATATGTCAGAATTGACAAAGAAAGTGCGGAGAAATGATATTATAAAAGGGGTCATATTTTTCAAATATACATGTACCATTCACATAAAAACGATTTTGTGTTTCGCAACAATGTATAACTCAACCTTTAAAATAATCCAAGGCATTATATATGGGCTAATGAATAAAGAGAATTAAAGAAAATTAGAAAAATATAATGGGTGGTACTCTCATGAGACTAAGTCCAGACTAAACAAGAATTTTAGTTCACACTTCTTTGAAATGCTAGGTTTCATTTTCCTCTTTCGATATCCATGACAAAGATAATCTACCAAAGTCTTTGTTGAAATTCAGTTAATACTCATATTATCTTGTGATTATTTTGTTTCAATATGTATGAATATATATTGAAACAAAATATCATATCGTTCCCAAATTATTGCTGATTTGATGACATTTATAGTGATGTACATTTCGTGAATTATTTCGCAACCACTGTACCCGGCGCAATGGCCCGATGATTGACAGAAAATGATAATTACTCCGATCAAGACTGTCCTTCCATTACATATAAATCAATATTCATAAATTTTTAAAGTAATTAGTCCTATGTATTACACAGTTGCCAACAAAGGTGGAATAATCTTTTTCACTAAAGTTCCTGCAAGTATTGTCGCAACATGATTTATTCTCGATATATAAGAATAATAATTATGTTATCTGAAATCTACAGATCGGTAAACTTTGATCAATTAATTGTAATCAATAATGTTCGGAGAAAATATCGACTTTATCTGTAAAAAAAATCATATTGCCACAGTCATTTCATGGACAGAGTTAAGAAAGAGTTATTCCGACTTTATGGGAACAAATTTAAATGAACTACTTACTTCTTTCATCTGCAGTTGAAGTAAGTACCTAGTTAAAGCGATGATGACGACATATTTCGCACCTCAGAGAGTGATGCCAACTTACGTTTGTTGTGATACCAACATTGATTTGACAATCCGCCAAACATTTATAATTCGCCTTCCGCCCCGACGCGTGATTACCGAAGATATCGATTTTTATGTTATATATGTATTTATGTATTTTTAGGAGCAACAAGTTCACACAATGACATACATATCCATTCTGTCCCTCTTTCCCTTTTCCTCTCGTTTTTTCTCTTTCTCTATCTCTTGCTGCGTGTAAATGTATTTATGTCTCTTTTTTCACCCTCTAGTTTTATCTGTCTGTGTCCCGATTCCTCTCCCTTTCTTTTCATAACTGTTTATTAAACTATTCATATTGGTATATTTTGACCTCACTTCATTCGTATCATTCTTTTCTTACCCCTATGAATCCTCTTTCTCTCTTTCATTATCTCATCTTCTCTCTTCTCTTTCGTTCTCTCCTCTCTCATTTTCTCTCTCTCCCTATCTAATTAAACCTCTCCACCTCCCTTTCTATTTCATTCTCTCCTGTTCTTCTTCTGTTTACCTTTCTCTTTCTACCTTTCCATCCTATTCCCTGCTTCATGTACTGAGCTCACTTTTCTTCTTCTTCCTTATCTCCTTCCTCTATACCTTCTTCTAGTACCTTCCTCTTTCTATCCTTTTCTCTCTCCAACTCTCGCCATCTTTCATCCCCCTTTGCATCCCCCTTTCCTGTTCATTCACTCCCTCTCCACCTCTCTACCTCTTTCTCTTTCTCTCTCATTCTTCTACTTTTTGATCCAACACCTGCAAAACCCTATCGTTCGATTAAACGTCCTATACAACAGAATTGTAAACACAACTGGACCGCAAAGCCCCATGTCTATATCATCTCCCTACTACTTCATTTCACCCCTTTCCGATGCCTTAGGCCACAAAACCATGCAGAGTTGAGAAAATCTCATTTTATCTCATCTGCAACATAAAACAAAATTAAATTTCATTCATCTTAAAGTGTGTGAAAAATGAGAATTATCGAAAAAAACAAATTGATATGAAATCTCTCGAAACGTCAGGCGAACACTTCGGTGACAGCTTGAGAAAATCTGGAAAATAAATTATAATATTTTTGGCAAAAAGAGATAACAATAATGAGATAGAAATTTGGGTATGTGACCAATGTATTTGATTTCATACCGATGGAATCCTACATGCGAAGCGTTGGCCTTGTACATTCCAAATTGAAAGACGCTCTTTAAGTGATAAAGTGTTCTATGAAACGTAAACTGGTAAAAATTTCTACGCAAAAAGGCATTATACATCACGACTGTATTGTCAATGAGAGATTTTCAAATAATCATTGATTGCATCTTTCAAATATTCACATTAACGTTTAAAATTATATATTTTTTAAAATCCGACTTTGGCTATAAAGCAATGGCCTCGCTGCTGTGAGGCCCCAGGATAAAAACCGTGTCGATCAGCTACATCAGTGCCCTTCGTGAGGCATTAATCCTCATTACTGTCAGTTATGACTTAAGGACGTAGGTCCCCTAGTTGATTAGCATAGTAGCACACATATGCTTTAGTAGTCACGCAAAACAAGCACTAGCTAACTATTATTCAATCAAATCTAAAAATGTATACTATTATTTAGATCTTTTAGGAATAAATCATTGTCAAAATCATTCCATAAATTGGGTAAAAAATTGTTATTCCACCATTATGACCAACGTCGGAGATGTATTATTAAAGCGCTATATGAAAGCTGAATATTATTTATGACAACATATGATTTAAGAGCTACAAAAAATAGATATTACTAAAGTAATCAGATACATTGACCCTCTTTGTTTCAAACCTCTGACTGCTAGTCTTCACGCATCGACAATCTAATGCATTAGCTCATCCATCGCCATAGACGGGTATAGAATAAACTTTTTAGAGCGGAGTTAATTAAAATTCCTTCATTACAATAGAATTCACCTCTAATCAATAATTAATCAATAGTTGATATATGTCTTATTGATTGAGATACTTGATAAACGCAGGGCAGCACCCCCGGCAATGTTATGATACCATAACTCAATCTTGGTTTATCGATTTTCTTTAGGCTCTGTTGAGCTTGATCGCTTTTGTATTTGTGAATAACAGAGCAGCGGTATATTTCTTTATAAACGGAGTATGTTCAAGTCCACGTGCAGATCATAGTGTAACGTGGGTTACAAAATAAACATTCTAATATCATTTCATGGTACTACATTTAGTGAAATCCTCTTTTTTTAAACACAACTTATCTTTAGCCGTGGTTAGAAAAGGGTATTTCGAAATCGTTCAATCGTTTAGGGGAATATGATCGTAGAATTCCCTTCGAAACATGATTAGCAGGAGGATATCGTAATGGGTTTACATAATTATGGATCTAAAAGAATACCCCCCCCCCCCCTAACAACAAAAAAATCGGTTTAAGTATTACATTTCGCTTGGAACATTTATGATATCGCATTTGACTATATTGATTGGCATTTCATTTTGTAATTTCAATCATATTGATCAGAACGAATGTTCTTGAATCCCTCAGCTCCTTCAATCAAAGCTTATACTGCATGAGAAATAAGCTTGACGGGTTTTCTGGGGCACCTGCAAACGTGACGTGGTTTAGTGGATAAGCCATCAGACTGCAGATCACAAGGTACGGGGTTCAAATCCTGGTATGCTTGAGTGCTACTTTTGGCGGCTCGGCTGTAACCAGGGTTATATGTCCATGTCCCATGCACGTCACTGCGTTAAGGATTTAAGCGCTTTATAAGAATTCGCTATTATTATTAGAATTAGTATTATTAGTATTACCATGTCATTACCTCCCATATGTCATAAAGTACACGGTACATTCTTTTAATGTACATCTAATTTGAGGGGAATGTGAAAGGAAACTTTCATCATGATTTATATTTATATATTATATATATATATACATACATATATATATATATATATCTGCTACAATATTACAGTCAATAGCAAACTTCATTCTGTTTAGTTCTTTATTGTTACTCTTTAAAGCGGGGCTGCAATACTTATAGCTACTTGCGCCCTCTATATGGCAAACATTTGATACGATAAACATCTATCAGTGACCACGCAGGGAGGTCCATTCCCTTCCATCCAAAAAGTGCAGATTGGCTTTAAAAAGAAAATTATCACAAACTCATACATACTGGTGATAAGTTATAATTGGTAATAAAATCAATAAAGGGGAGTGGGGAATTAACAGCCAAATGGTTATAATGATTTCCATTAAATACGAAACAAAAAATAAGAACATTTAAAGATAAAATTAAGGCAAAGTTTTCAAATCTGCTGCGAGCTCTCTCATCCATGTTTCTACCCGTGTGCTAGAATATCATAGCAGCAATGC